GCAACGCATCGAATTATTCAAACTGATCAATGTTTACTGAGTTGTGGTAATTTATAAACACAGAAACTTAGTTGTCCAAATTTACGGATAGTTATCGAGCTATAAAAACGTGTGGGATTAACGAAATTTGTCAAGTTAAAGAAATGTATCAAGTTATCGATATTTATTGAATTATCATTATTTATAGACTTAACGAAATTTTCGAAGTGTCGTAATGCATGGAGTTCTTTCAACTTACAGAGTTATCGATAATTATTGATCTACTGAAATTGGTTGGTTCAACGAATCGAAGTTTATGGAATTTTCAAAATATATCGATTTATCGAAATTTCAATGTTATATAAGCTTATCGATTTATCACTGCTTATCGAATTTAATCGTCTTAACAGAGTGTAACGAGTTATCCAAATGTTTAGATAGTTTTCAAAAAATGTGGAGATGTCAAAAGTTTATAAAGGTATCCAAAGTTTGTACATTTTTGAGTTAACGAAATTTATCGAGCCATCGAATTTCACAGTTATCGATATTGGTCGAGTTAACAAATTTTGTTAAGTTATCGAATTTTAGTGTTCAAATCATTGAAATTTATCGATAAACTTGAATGTATCGGGTCAATTCCAAGTCCTGCCGAAGTCCTCCAAAGACCTTCTCAGATAAAAAAAAGTTAGTTACGTTTTAGCAGAAGATTTTCCGATTATTTAATTTGTACCGTATAAGTTTTGCTACGTGTTAAGTTTGAAAACCTCTCCAAGGCTTCTAAAACTAAAAAAACTGTCGAATTTCGACATTAACAGGCACTCTAGTATGTATATAAATCTTGACCCGTCCAGGTATCAAATATCTTCGTTTCAAGTTTCTCTAAACTACATTTGCATGATAAGCAGGGGTGTTTTTCTCGGAGTTTTCGTATATCTTAAATTTACAGTTATACGGAAAACGGGTGCAATCTTAGTCCGATTTGAATAATTTCTTTCTTGTACCGAGGTTATTAAGTGCAGCGAGTTTGGTAGAAATTTATAAATCGGTTACCGAGATCCACTTTTGTGGTCATAAGTGGGCGGCACCACATCCCTTTTCCAAAAATGTATAATGATCTAATTTTATGCCAAATCGTTGATACAATAATCGGTTTTAAGTGAGCTAGCTTCAGTAGTTACTGATTTACCAGTTTTCGTGTTTCTGTAAATTACCGTTATATGGGAACTGGGTGTGGTTATTGTCCGATTTCAAAGATTTTCAACAGATTTCTTAGCTATACCCTAGGCAAGGCTCGTACCAAGTTTGGTAACGATTGGTGAAGTGGCCGTGCGATACAGTATTTTCAATACCAACCTACCTTGGATAAAGAGCAACCTACATACAAAATTTCGTTGCGATATCTCAATTTTTGCTCGAGCTATCGTCTACACCAGTGATTCCCAAAGCGGTCCAGGTGTACCCCCAGGGGTACAAGGGAGACTCGACTTGCCACCTGCAGACTAAAAGGAAATGGATGTTCGTATAACACTGAGTGGGCGCGGCGGAAATTGCAGGCGGCAGAGATTTAAGCACTTGTGTATTTTCAATGCTACAGGATAGTACGCCACCATTACCTTTGGTGAAGAGATTCTATAATGTTGAGTTCCCTGAGACTGAGACTGACCTCACACATTGTCAAATCTTCACTGATGGCTCCAAAACTGACTGGGTCATGATCTGGGTCATAGGCCAGCCCTCTAACTACTTCCAAACTAGTTCGGAAATGCAAGTCTCCGCTAAATTATGGTGGTAAACATAATGAGTTTGCTTTACTCTGGGTGCCAGGTCACTCAGGAGTACCTGGTAATGAGACATCTGATCATTTGGCCAGAATTGGCTCAGACCAGGCATTCCTCCAAGGCGAATTTATACAAGGTAGTGTTACTGGCGAATTTAGGTTTTCGTCGCAGTCCTTCTGAATGTCAAAATGATGTGTTTGTTGTAAACAAGGCGAATTCATATTACAACAAACACATCATTTTGACATTCAGAAGGACCACGGCGAAAATTTGAATTCGCCAGTAACACCACCTTGTATAAATTCGCCTTGCATTCCTCGGTGGAATACTTTTTATGCTTCTTGCTTGCTTGGTTGTTTGTCATTTTCTAGACTCGTTCTTTTCTCTTTTGTCGGTTTCCGATTTAAAAGTCTGGCGTAAAAAGCTTAGCCGTTTTGTTTTTTTAAGTTTTGGTTATTCGCCATAAACATTGACAAACATATGATTATTGACTATGCCAGAATCTAAACGAGAGATGAAATGTATCCGTTGTATATTGTTCGAGAATATTTTGGAAAAAAAATTTTTGTTATCGATGTTGAATTCGCCGCGATCCTCCTTTAAGGTAAAAACATAATGATGCGGCGAGCAAAGCGAAGAACTAGCCTCGAGCCAAAGCGAATTTATACAAGGTGGTGTTGATGGCGAATTTAGATTTTCGCCGAGGTACGTCTTAATGTCAAAATTATGTGTTGGTTGTAAAATGAATTCGCGTTGTTTACAACAAACACATCATTTTGACATTCAGTAGTACCGCGGCGAAAATTTAATTCGCCATCAACACCACCTTGTATAAATTCGCCTTGCCTCGAGCAAAGCTTCAATTACAAACGTGTATGTACGCTTTGCTCTTCACTATTTTTTTGAATGATAAAAGTGAGAACACCCTTAATGTATAGACATATGTATATGCAAACAAATACATTTCCTTTTACCTCATTTATCACTGGTTTTTGTTGTTGCTGTTGCGACTGTTGCTGGGTTGTCTGTTGCAGTTGCTGCGCCTGTTTCTTAGCACTAACCCTTTTTGATTTCTTCGGCGCTACTGGTGTTGGATTTCCATTTGCGTCTACCGTTTTCTTCCTCACATTCTTAGTATTTGGCAATTTATTATCTTTTTTCCACTTCATACGTCGATTCTGGAACCAGATTTTTATTTGCCGTTCCGACAACACCAGCGTATGTGCGATTTCGATGCGTCTGCGACGAGTGAGATAACGATTGTAATGGAATTCCTTTTCCAGTTCGAGTATCTGATGGCGTGTGTAGGCGGTGCGCTGCCGTTTCGGTTCCATGCCAGGTTGGTAGGAACCATTTGCTAAAAAAATGCAGAAAAAATCAAGTTTGTGAATATGTACATATGTAAATAGTGCATACATATTTATGTATGTATATACATATTTTGAATAATTTAAATTTACATAAATACATATTTCATATTTTGAGGGCTCTAATTAAGAGCAATAGAAAAACCATGCAAACTTTAGATTACACTTTAGTTACTTGGATTGAAAATGATTTGATGAAACTTTTTAAAGTTATTTTATATTCAAAAAACGCATTTGAAAAATAGATAAATATACTGATATTTCGCAGAAATTTTACTTGTGGCAAGTAACTTTCTTTATCGCTAAACCACATTTTAAGACCATAAAATCAAAGTGACAGCTAAAGCTATGAACTTCCTGCAAGTGCCTTGAGGCTTAAGCCGCACGCTGAATTGTCTTGTTCATCTATATTTCAAACAGCAGTGCCAAATGTTTTCGCAGTCAATCAAACTTAAATAAAATACTGTTGACTACTTGACTTCAGTGAAATTTTTTAATTTAACTTTGCAAGTGAGGGTCACAGTTGTGCATTTTTACGAGAAAGGTGTGGCGATTTGTGCCTCTGACGCACTCACCGCCGCTCATAGAAAAACCAAAAGGCCGGCGCAGTGCGAGTTGTTTCGCGACAACACAATTAATCAACATCAAAAATGTGAAGGACGCGAAGAAGAAACGGACAGCAACTGATAACTAAGTGCATGCCTTAAAAGTGAGTTTTCCTTAAGGGCAATTTCCAACAATAGGCCACTGATGCAGGAGCGGCAATCAACCCTTTTATCAGCCTAACGTCGCGAAGTAAGAAAATTGAGTAAATTAAAAAAAAATGTATCACCTGCTGCCCATGCAACAAAGAGTTTTCTTAGCTGATACTTCACATATTGCTCCTTATATTTATATATACATTTATTTTTGTTATGTAAATGTAAATGTACATCCTCTGTCGGAATAAAGCATACAATCTCAAAAATTATCCAATTGAAAAAGGAGCTATAAATAAATTACTTTGAAACAAATGCAGCATTTCGGCCACCGCTTTTAATTTCTATGAGCCCAATGCATTTTAAAGTAGTTTAAATCATACGCATTGTCGGACAATTGCTTGCTCCTTGTAATTCAAACTTAACATTTGAAAACACGCTTACATAATTATTTTGGCTGTAGCTTAGGGCTGCCAGACGTCCTGATTTTGGTGCACTGATCCATCCTTAAATTTTTTTTTTTTTTTAATTTAAGTCAATGCAGAAAACCATTTCTTTTTTGGCAGATTTTGCTATGAAAAAAACGGTTAATCTTTACGAAGCGTTTACTCTAGCAGTTGAAGTATCTGGTTAATTTACCTTATTTCTCTTTAGCTTATTTGGTTAAAATCTTGTTTTTTATCTTAAGGCAAATGCTAAAAAAACACAAGTTCCTCAACAGGTACGCGCCTGAGGGTTCATAAATACTACATAGATGCCGTCTTTAAATCGATTAAATCGAATATCGATTAATCGAGCCCTTCCGATTAGATTTTTTGTCGATATTTTAATTCCGATTCGATCCGTGAAATTTGAATTGGAAGCTGGTACAAAAAAATAATGGGACACTCTCACCTTTCTAACTTGAGAAAGCAAAGACCAAAGTGACCTGCATCTCTATCTCCTCCGACTAAAGGGCTCCTCGAAGCCTCTTGGAAATAATGCTATATAAAATTATTGCTAATACTACAACAAAAACTCCAAAAAACTCCAAACTTTTTGCAAAATTTCATAAAATGTGTGTAATTACTCTTTTTGGAAAAAAATTGAGTACGTATGCAGTTTTGCAGTAAATCTTTTCTAAAAAGAGTAAATATAGTGTTAGCGAAACCAAAAAAAAACTAAAAAGCGTCCGTATTGCAAACAAATCTACATATCGTCGTTTAAAGTACAAAACCGCGTGTCAAGAAAATGCAAAACCGCGTAGGTGAGGTTGCATGAATTATTTTCTAGAGAGTAAAAACACTCATATTTCAAAATGGTTCTCTTTTTTAAAAAGCAATCGCATTTCTGGCTAGTATATTGCAGGACTAATGGATAAGGATAGAGCCCAGAGCTTATGTGAGCAAATACAATTTTTGGCACAAAATGTCAGTTACGCGGTATTGTAGAGCGACGATACGCGGTTTTGTACTTTAAACGACGATATGTATGTATATACCCATTAGCGCACACAAGGGGTGGGTTTTGGGGTTCAAACCCCCCCTAAAACTAATAACCTCAAATACAAACTGTATCTTAAAGCTAAGAATCCAGCTCAAGGAAATTATAAGAAACATTTATTATAATTTGTTGCCTGAAAAAGCGCTTTGCTTTTGCTGTAAATTTCTATGAGGAAATAAATATACGAGCATTTTTTTCTTGAGAGCTGCAAACTGATTTAAGAAATTTTAGTAGAAGAAAATTTCTTTTCCATTTCTCGTCCGTCGTTTTAT